GATCTCAGAGTTAAGCGCTCATCCTCTCCATTGTGAAGCCGTCTGGTTTATCGCTGGCCCTGATGGATTCTGTGAAAGGATGAACTCTCGCTTCAGGAACGCTTCACTCCTCATGGCGTGGAAACACAACTGTTTACATGAAGCAGCCGGTGCCGATCTGCTGTGTTTAGAGAAAGCTGGCTGCGGTCCCTCTCACTGTTCTGCCAGAGTACAGTTATTTACCAACCAGTCAAGTCACATTTATTTATCTGGCACTCTATGCGGTACAGATTGTTTCGGAGGTGCTTCACTATAATAAACAAGAAAGTAACATCAACAAGTGTTCATACTGTAGAATTCATTAGGTAGAAATTAAATTACATTTCACTTGCGATTAACCCTCTGGGGTCTGGACTGGAAAAGTTCTGAGGTGCCCTGATATCTGTCCTTTTTTCGAGATGCTACACACTCACCGGCCACTTTATTAGATACACCTTACTAATACCGGGTTGGACCCCATTTTGCCTTAAGAACTGACTTAATCCTTCATGGCTTAGATTCAGCAAGGTACTAAAAATATTCCTCAGAGATTTTGGTCCATATTGACATGATAGCATCATGCAGTTGCTGCAGATTTGTCACTGCACATCCATGATGCAAATTTCTCGTTCCACCACATCCCAAAGGTGGCCATTTTCCTTTGACCTCTGGCATCAACAAGGCATTTGCACACACAGAACTGCAGCTCACTGGATATTTTCTCTTTTTTCGGATCATTCTCTATAAACCCTAGAGATGGTTGTGCATGAAAATCCCAGTAGATCAGCAGTTTCTGAAATACTCAGACCAGCCTGACTGGCACCAGCAACCATGCCTCGTTCAAAGTCACTTAAATCACCTTTCATCCTCTCCTCGTCTTGACCATGTCTACATGCCTACATGCACTGAGTTGCTGCCATGTGATTGGCTGATTAGAAATTAGCAATAACGAGCAGCTGGACAGGTGTACCTAATAAGGTGGCCAGTGAATGTATAAGTGGCTAAAGTCGAACAGCACTGTAAACAGCACAAACTAGGTTACAATAATACATTGGCTTCATGTATGTTCAAGTTTTTGAAACCAAAATAACTCCATGAAAAACACAATATTTGATCACAAGACTTTTGAGAACAGGATCTTGTAGCCTAGAGTGTTTGCTTCACAATGATGTGAAAGTCATCTTGTTTACTTGCTTACAGAAACCAATATATTATTTAAATTTTCTAAGACACTGAAAACTCTACTGCTCATATGCGATGAGGCGTAAACTATCATCACTAATGCAGTGATTCACACCTGAGAAAACTAAGAGCTGCCTAATGAGATGCATAATAGAAGAACTCCTGCAGACGACATCCTTTCAACTTTTTAGTTCACACTAAATATGCTTTCTGCGTTGAGAGGTGCCTTTTTTGAATTGTTTTCTAATGGTCATGAGAACTTTGCATGCTGCTTATGTGCCCTGCTTGCCTCGCATGTTATAATCACCTACTGCGCTTCGTGTTTTTGTAGTTTTGCTGTGTGTGTCTGCAGCTAAAAAAAATCAACTCTTAGCAGAAAAGCCTGCTTCAAATCAAATGAAAGCAGAGACAGCAATTATGTCACTGTTTTGGGTAACACTTTAATGGTCCATTTGAGTATTAGTAGACTGTCAGTTAAACTCCGTGGACCCGGTACCGGGTTCGTGACGTCATCGACTTTCGCTTTAAAGGGTCATGAAACCCCCTCGTTTCAGCAGGGTGTTTTCACACCTCTACTTTGGAAAAAGTCAGAAAAGTGGGCGTGTCCAGCTCTGTTTAGGGGGGAGTGTCGAAGGAAGAAAAGAGGCTTGGTGTGGGAGTGTCTATTTGGGCGCGCTGAATTTCAGAGTCAAAACACACACCCACAGCGGACAATGTGACTTTGTTTACATGGACATCTGTAGTCGAATTATTTGCCAAATTATTAAATGATGGAATTTAACTGCAGTTTGGCTCTTTCATTCAGGGAATTCATTCATGTCCCTCGCGACAAACGTGATATTTGATTCGAGGCGCTGCTCTAAGCGTGTATTTTTCATGCAATGTTTGATACCGCACGGCGAATGAGAGAAAAAAAAACTCAGCATTTCCCGGAAACTTAGATGCACACGGCAGGTAGCGTCAGAAAGCGGCGTGTGTTATTTCGGTCACAAAATCCTACACGAGGTTATAGTTTGGTTGTAGTGCTAACTTGTTTACACTCGGTGCAATAGTTTGTAAAAATACGAACTGAATAAACAAAGAGCACTGGTCGCTCACTTACCAAATCTGTAGTGACAGGACAATCCACAGCAACTAGAGCCGCGTCTTTATTTAGAGGAGACTACAAGCGAATCCGGATCTCAGCGTTTGCAGATGAGAACAGCTCTCAGGTAAACAATGTTCCTCCTTTGACACGTAAGTTATTGTAGTCGAGCGTCGCGTACACTGTTAATCCACACGTGACTCCAGCTGCGCTCTCACAGAGAGAAAATGAAAACAAAACTTAACTGCAGCAAACTATAAAAGCAACACTTCACGCTTGTTTTGCCAACACAACGTGGTGTCTTTGTCGTCTAAACACTGTGACAGTAATGAATATTAATGAAGTTGATTGGTTTGAACCAAGCCTTACTCATGCATTAATGCATCACACTGTAAGACGTAATAAGACACACTCTGGCACAGACGTCCAGTCTGCACGCTGGAATACACGCTATTATCTCATGGCCGTGACGCAGCTTCAAAAATTTGTTTCAAACCGGAAGTTCGAATTTGCTTGAAATAACGCAAAAACAACCAATTTACACTTTTTAGTGAAATATATGTGTCCTAATAGTGTTTTTAGCAGTGTGGGACACATATACGACTGTCAACAGCTCAAAAAATGTGTTTTGGTATTTTGTGACCCTTTTACGATCTAAAGGGCTAGCATTGCACCAGACCCCCTTAAGTGGTTTCGTTTGAAAGTGTAGAATCTATATTTTATGTACATATGATTTTTATTTACTTTGATTTTTATTGTACTGTACAAAAGTTATTTACACTTAAATACACAGTATTTTGAATTGCCATGTTTCCATGGCGCAGATGTGAAAACAATACATTTATGATCAATAAGCAGCCCCAGATAGCACAGACAGCTGTCATCTCTTACCTTATGCTGTGCTTTTTAGGGCCATTCTCCTCTGTTTTTGAGGTGATGTGCATAAGGATCCTTTTATATGTCTGACGTGGTCCAAACACAGTGAATTATGTTTGATCAAACAAAAGAATAGTGAAATATGAAAACAATGATCAGTCCCTGTGGCTTGTACAGCACCTCTCATCAGTTGGAATACAATAACTTTTGCATAGATTATGGTGGAGACATTTTTCTTTATCCTATGATTACAGACATGTGCGGGAACCACCAAAATTAATTACAGCATGCTAGACCACACAGAACCTAAAAGGTACACTTTTAAATTTGAGTTCATAAAAAAAAAATGCAAAAAGCGCCAATTTTTTAGGTGTTTATTATAACACAGACAAAAATACTGATATCTTAAACACTTTCAATATTGTTTTATGAAAATTCAAAGGGTTTTCCTTGAAAATGGTATACATTTTTTTGCATTTACACCTCTGCATGTGGATTTGGGTAGGCAAAATCCCGGCGGAAATCCCAAAATAGCACTGGGGTTTAAGAGGTTAATATCTGTTGATACTGCTCCTTCAGCAGACATATAACTGACTATAAGAAACTTTGCAAATACATGTCAACTTACCCTAACCCCAACAGTCTAAGTTTAATCTAATGAGAATTCGTTGGCATGTAGACCATTAAATTCAACAAACAGGCCATCAAAATAAAGTGTGAACCTGTTTTGGAGTGCACTAGCTTATAGATATTTTAAAAACTAACAATATTGATACTAACATCTAAAAACTTCATTTTAGTTTCATGGGACCTTTAAAAAAATGACTGACATAGAATACAAACACTTACTGTTCAGATTGTTGATCAAAAATGACAACTTCAGTTGTACAGAAGATCTACAGAATGCAATAGAGTGATATTTCAACTCAACTTGATTCAGTTTAGATCAATCAGTGTTAATACTGCAATCTGGTTGTCATTGCTCTCATCCAGTGTCAAATTTAGTGCAGTTGAATTGATTTTACTAAATTTTAATTGTTTTTACAACCTTTTAAACCTTTCCCAGTGTTTTTGTTCTTTAAATTGACAATGCATTATTCATATTTTCCCAACACTGGCTTCCTTCTACACAGTATCCATCTCTTAGCGTGTGCTTTTCACAACACCTTTTACAGAGGATAGATTTGAACGGTTGCACATTGCAACATGTAACGCAAGTTAAAATATACTTTTCATCTCTATCATGATGTATGTCTGAATAAAACAGATTCTTAAATGAGGAAAAACCAGACTTCATTTTGTTCATTGACTATACGGTTGTCGCCTGCTGTTGGTGGGTCTCATGTGATTGATAGGTTTATATTCCACCCTTTCACCAGTAAACAAATAATTAGAGAAGAGATGTCATTATGGAGGGTGGGGAAGTTATTTTGATTAAATTTTGTGGGTACATGAAATTAAACTCAAATGACTGCAATTTTAGTTTGATATTCACTTTAAAATGATCCATTTTGCTGACCGACGGGTGTGTTGACCTCTTGAAATTAATACAGCAAACATAAAAGTAAAAATGGGATTTATTTATCTCCAATTTACTTTGTTAACGATTGAATGAGGATATCGACACATACTTTTAATGCATATTAAATTCCTCTTCTTCATATTTCTCAGCTGGTAACCGTTCGCATACCTTCTCAATGTTTGCTCATGTTCTTGGTGTTTTTTCTTCTTTTTTGGTCATGGCTTTCTGTTGTGGTCTCTACAAATGAGTCCAGCTTTTGAAGTGTTTGACTGGTTATTCTCACTCTGATTTGCTCTTTTGTCTCTGTTTTGGCTCCAGGAAGAAAAGGGCATTTCCTGTATGCTGGTAGAGCTGGACTTCCTCAAGTGTAGCGTTGGCTTTCCTTTCATGAGGGCACAAACCAAGGTACTTTAACAACTTATAGATTCAAGATGCATTTGCACTTAAAGGTATGGTTCACACAAAAAATGAAAATTTGCTCACTATTTACTAATTCTCAGGCGGTGCCAAACCTCTATAAGTTTCTTTTTTTTCTGTTGAAAAAATATATTTTGAAATAAGCTGAAAGCCTGTAAACATTAACTTCTATAATAATAATAATAATAATAATAATAAGCACTGTAAATATAACAGTTAGCACTGTCGCCTCACAGCAAGAAGGTTGCTGGTTCGAGCCTCGGCCTGGTTAGTTGGCGTTTCTGTGTGGAGTTTGCATGTTCTCCTTGCGTTCGCGTGGGGTCCTCCAGTTTCCCCCACAGTCCAAAGACATGCGGTACAGGTGAATTGGGTTGGCTAAATTGGCCGTAGTGTATGAGTGTGAATGAGTGTGCATGGAAGCTTCCCAGAGATGGGTTGCGGCTGGTAGGTCATCTGCAGCGGAAAACATATGCTGGACAAATTGGCGGTTCATTTTGCTGTGGTGACCCCGGATTAATAAAAGGACTAAGCCGAAAAGAAAATTAATGAATTAATGAATAAATGAATTAATTAATTAATTATAATAATAATAATAATAATAATATTATTATATTTTTTATTATTATTATTATCACTACATTTCTGGAGGGAATCTCCTCATCCACCACCAGTGTGCAGCATCCACCTGGATGAAGCGACAGCAGCCATATTGCACCTGATTGGTGAAGAGAAGACATTATTATTATTACTATTATTATTATTATTATTATTATTATTATTAGGAGAAGACATTATTATAGAAGAGAATTATTATTATTATTATTGATGAAGCCAATTATGACATAGGGAGGGTTAGGAAGCCATGATGGACTGAGGCCAGTGGACAAATTTGGCCAGGATGCCTGGGTTAAACTCCTACTCTTTTTCGAAGGACATCCCGGGATTTTTAATGACCACAGAGAGTCAGGATCTCGGTTAATGACCACAGAGAGTCAGGACCTCGGTTTAACGTCTTATCCGAAAGACGGTGCTCACTGTCCCCATCAATACACTGGGGTGTTGGGACTCACACAGACCGCAGGTTCCGAGACCCCTGCTGGACTCACTAACATCACTTCCAGCAGTAACCTAGCTTTCCCATGTGGTCTCGCATCCAGGTACTGACCAGGCACAGCCCTGCTTAGCTTCAGTTGGCGACCATGTGAGAGTTGTAGTGAGCTAGCTGCCATAGCAGAAAAAAACAAGTACTATGGAAGTCAATGGTTACAGGTTTCCAGTTTTCTTCAAAATATTTTCTTTTGTGAAAGATAGAAACTATTAACGGTTTAAAACAAGTAAAGGCTGAGTAAACGATGACAGAATTTTCATTTTTGTGTGAACTATCCAATTAACCTTATATACTGTAAAAACTGGAAAGAACAGTTTCTGTATTTTGTGATTTCTCAAGTGTTTTCTGTTTATTTACAGCTGTAAATTGCATTATGGGATGTTGATTTTCGCTCTGTCGACTTTTGATGATGAATATTCAACTTTACAGTTTTTACAGTAAAAGTGACTTTTATTGACATTTTAGTTAGAAATAATAGAATGTATAAGAAATAATATATTTATTTTAATTATATATATATATATATATATATATATATATATATATATATATATATATATATATATATATATATATATATATATATATATATATATAGAAAGTTAGAGAAATAGGTCTGTTAAACAACAGAAAATGTAGTGCCAGTTTATTACAAGGTGTTTGTAGCATAATGTACCACACCAACCGAGACAATATAGCACTTTAAACTATTAGAAATGTTAATAAAAGTCACTTTTTTTTTACCTTTTCGAGGTTAAAACTTGCTGGAAGAAAAATGAAGATCACATAATGCAATTTAAAAACATATTTAAAACATGAATCGCAGAATATGTAAATTAATCACAAATTTAGTAATATTTTTAACACAGTCTGTTTTTGACCTTTTTTTCAGTACCATATATCGGCACTTTTTGACACGAGTCGTCTGTCCGGTGAAAACGAAACGCTGTTGTTTTTGGTGCACGCTAGAAGGTAAGATCTGAACTGAACATTCTTTCATTCATTTTCCTTTGGCTTGGTCCCTTATTTTTCAGTGGTCGCAACAGTAGAATGAACCGCTAACTATTCCATCATGTTCACGCAGAGGATGCCCTTCTAGTTGCAACCCATTTCTGGGAAACACCCATACACTCATTCACACACTATGACCAATTGAGGAAACCCACGCCAACACCAGGAGAACATGCAAACTCCACACAAAAATGTCAGCTGGCCCAGCCGGGACTCAAACCTGCGACCTTCTTGCCGTGAGGCGACAGTGCTAACCACTGAGCCAACATGCTGCCTCTGGACTGAAAAAAAAAAACCTCTTTAAAAATGCAAAATTTACTTCAGTGATTAAAAAACACATGGTTCACATCATCCGTCCACATTAGTGAATGTCACGATGTTTATATTTGAGAACTCGATAGATTAGACATTTGGACTTTTTCCCTATTTGGCTATTTTGAGAGAAATGAAGTGGTTTCGCTTGATACTAAAGTGGTGATATTAATCTAATGCTGGCCAGATGTGTTTTCTTTGCTTTAGATGTGTATTACACAGTAAGTGGTAAAGACTAGCTCTCTGAGAGGCAAATACAATCTTCAAAATGGACGTTTGGTCTTACTTGACCGTACAACTATGCTAAAAACAAATCTTATGTCCACACCAATATGTTCAAACATTTGTGTTGGTAAAGTTTTTGAACAAAGTCTCTTATGCTTACTTAAACTTGATTTGATCAAAATAGCAAAAACCTTGTGAAAGATTGTCTTAAAGGATTCAGTAAAAATGAAATAATATTAAACGCTTTTTACTGTAGTAAATGTTTGAGTGTACTTTGTTTATGTGATTCAAACATGAATTGTCTGCATCTTTTTCATGTTCTTTTCAATGAGCAAAATAGTTAAAATTTTATTTAATTATTAGTTATTTAATTATCTTATTTTATTTATATTTAATTTAAATATATTTGAATTTTCAATTAATTGAAAAATTAAAAAAATTGAAATTTCAATTTGAACTATATTAATTATTGAAATATACATATGTTAATGTCTTTAATGTGATATTTTGTTTTATTTGTTTATTTATTTATTTTATTTTTATTATTTTTTCATTTTATTTTATTTTATTTTCATTTTATTTAGATAAATTTTATTAAAAAAATTTGTTATGTTATTTTAATTTTTTATTTTATTTTATTTCATTTTTTTTATTTTATTTTATTTTATTTTATTTTATAGTCCATTTTCACCATGTTCTTTTTTTTAAGAAATTAACTGACCAATTTTCTTTTTAGAAATTAAAAATTTGATTGATGGATTGATGGATTGACTGATTGACATTATTTTACTTTATTTAAATATCACTGTTAATATATTAACAATAATAAAAATATTTTATTTAATTTTTATTTAAATATTACTGTTTATATTTACCCAGATTAGGGTTGACCAGCAATTTATAATAACCCAGAGTGGTATTTTATTTATTTGAATTTAGACTTTATTTATTTGTTTATTTATTTTATTCATTTGTTTTATTTGTTAGTTTGTTTGAATTTTAGATTAATCTTTTTTAAATAATCTTTGCTAAAAACTGTTTTCTTTTTCTCTCAGTGCCAATCCAGAACATGACAACACTCTTCATGATAACACATTGGAGTTGTCAATTCCGCTGGTACATGAAGTGGACACAACAATCACAGGGTGAGATTTACGCTTCATGAAAAAGGAAAACTGCACCCCAATTTAAAATCCTGTCAGTTTATTTACCCTAATATTGTTCAAAGATATGTTTGACTTTCTTTCATATATTAAACTGTCCCAGAACAAGCCAATATTATACAATGACTTGCCTAATTAACCTAACTTGCCTAATTAACCAAGTTAAGCCTTGCAATGTTACTTTAAGCTGAATACTAGTATATTGTAAAAAATATCTAGTCAAATGTTGTGCTGTCATCATGACAAAGATAAAAGAAATCATTATTAGAAATTAGTTATTAAAACTGTTATGTTTAGAAAAATGTTGAAAAAAATCCCTCTGTTATGACTTCAACTTTTTTTTATTTATGATCAATCCTGTAAGAGCTTTGAAGTTTATTCCACCAAACGTCTCCTAATGCAGCTCTTACTGTATGTGGACATTTCTTTTCTGGCACGGGTTTCTTTACACACTGGAGTATTTCAAAGTAACAGGCTCGCAGATGCTTGTTTCATAGAGATGAATGAGGCTTAGATAGACAACATGTTGAAGTGCGAGACGTACAGCCTGATAATGAGATGGTCCTCCCTCTAATGTTTTAGAAGAGCGCGCCAGAGACTACACTTTCATATATAAACATGATCTCCAGAGGTTAGACTTTAAATAAAGTTACTGTCTGCTTTATGTCAGATAGCCAGTAAACTCCATATGGATCAGAAGGTTTCTATCATCAGTACTATGTTATGTCAGGATTATATTTATATCAGTACCAGTAACACTTTATTTTAACTAACTACAGTCAAAGACAAAATTATCATTAGCACTTCTCTGATTTAAAAAAAAAAAAATTGTAATATTTCCCAAATGATGTTGAACAGATTCAGTAATTTTTCACAGTATTTTGTTCGTTTACGCTCACGCGTAGGCTGCGCCGTAGCATACGTGTGCGCTTGAGCAAGAAGTATAAACAAGGCTTTAACCAGTTTGCTTACACAAGAAAACAACTTGTTGCGTTTGTTGCAACAGGCATTGTTGCTGTCCACTCAGGAAATACAACCCGTTTGGTTCTCTCTGGCACTCCGCAAGCATACAAGCTGTGTGTGCGCGCGAGTCTGTGACTGTCTCACGAGCTATGTGTGCTTAAACCTGGTTTTACTTCTGTGCAAGTGACCGGCGTAACCCATGGCGCATGCAACACGCGTAGCTGTGCATTTATACTTCTGCGCGCTGTCTCTGTTGGTCTGCATTTCTAAAACGCTAGTTGGCAGTGAGGTATATGTTCGTCTGTGTCGAGTTTCTTCGCCTGTGTTTTGTTTTTTCTGACCGCTTCCTGAATGTACAAGTGGCTCAAACTCGCTCATTTTGAGGCAGGAACCGGCAGACGTGCAACAACTTTAACTATGAGGTAAATACAAAACAAAACGTTCCATACGGAGCTCCTTCACGGGACTCCACACTTGTAAACAATTGCTCTATTGGGCTCACGCCACTCGCGCGGCTCTCAGTGCCACCCAGACTCGTTAGCGCTACCAAACCGACCAATCACAGTGCTTGCGCTACGCGTCGTTGCAAGGTGTAGTTAAGGCTGATTTATACTTCTGCGTCAAACACCGGCGTAGGCTACAGCGCTGACGCATAGCCCTTCGCCGTGGCCATCGCCGTCACTGACGTCACCTCTCAAAAATTGTAACTACACGTCGCAACAACGCGTAGCGCAAGCTCTGTGATTGGTCGGCTTGCTAGCGCCGACGAGTCGGGCGGGACCGAGAGCCGCGCGAATGGTGCGAGCGATTGTTTACAAGTGTGGAGTCCCGTGAAGGAGCTCCAGATGGAAAGTTTTGCTCTGTGTTTACCTCATGGTTAAAGTTGTTGCACGTCCGCCGGTTCCTGCCTCAAAATGAGCGAGTTTGAGCCACTTGTACATCCAGGAAGTGTTCAGAATAGCAAAACAGAAGCGAAGAAACTCGACACAGAGGAACATTTACACCTCACTGCCCACTAGCGTTTCGGAAGTGTTAATGCAGACCAACGGAGACAGCGCGCAGAAGTATAAATGCACAGCCACGCGCGTTGCCTGCGCCGTGAGTTGCGCCGGTCACTTGACGCAGAAGTATAAACCAGGCTTTACATTTTTTTGAGAGGTGAACGTCAGCGACGCCACGGCCACTGCGTAGGGCCATGCGTCAACGTGTAGGCTGCGCCGTAGCATACGGGTGCGCTTGACGCAGAAGTATAAATCAGCTTTAACCGAGCCTCCACTGGGCGCATGCGCACAGCCAAGAACTGTGAAGCCTTTTATACTTGACGCGCTCGCCATGAACACAAGCATTTCTCAAGTGAGATTGCCAACTGTGCAGACGAATATCGCAAATTAGAAAAGGTTGGTCAGTTAAATTATGCTACTGTAAGTAATTTTTATTCAGCAGTAATTCTCCAGTACCAATAGCAGAACCGTTAACGTCAGAGCTTTTCGATACTTCAGTCTTTTATAATGTAGCACCGATACCGATAGACTATAGAGTTTGGATACCCATCCCTACTGTCATCATGGCAAAGATGAAATAAATCAGTTATTAGAAATGAGTTAATAAAACTAATATGTTTAGAAATGTGTTGAGAAAATCTTCTTTCTGCTAAACAGAAATTAGGGGGAAAAACTCTACTGGAAGGCTGATGATTCTGACTTCCACTACAGATTACAGCAAACCTTATTTGAATCAGTTTAAGTGAGGGCCATAAGAGTATAGCACAGTAAAGGATTAACATAGTAACTGTGTTTCTGTTTTACAGTGTGGTCAACCCTACATCTTTTGTGTATGGAAACTCAGTAGACCGATCGCGCTTCGTCCAGCTGGAGGACATGGAGTGCAGCTTTCAACCGCTTAACTTCACTTTTCAGGTAACATATGTGTTTCCATGTTCCAGAATAGACTTAATCTGTAAGTAAGGGGAAATGTGCAGTCAGATGAACATCATAACTCAATTATCTCACTGCAATTTCCTTTTGTCAACAATTTTTTTGTATTTTCAAGTGTAAGTATGCATCACACTTCACAATAAGCTTTCGTTAATTAATGTTAATGTATTAACCTAAACAAACTAAGACTGGCGACAAGGTGGCTCAGTGGTCTTGGTCAGTTGGCATTTCTGTGCGGAGTTTGCATGTTTTCCCCAAGTTGGCGTGGGTTTCCTTCGGGTGCTCCGGTTTCCCTCAAAGTCCAAACACATGCGCTATTGGTGAACTGAATAAGCTAAATTGGCCGTAGTGTATGAGTGTGTGTGAATGAGAGTGTATGGGTGTTTCCCAGTACTGGGTTGCAGCTGGCAGGGCAGCCACTGTGTAAAACATATGCTTGATAAGTTGGCGGTTCATTCCACTGTGGCGACCACTGACTGAAGGAATGAATGAATGAATAAATGAACAAATTAAGAACGAGCAATAGCGCAGCATTTATTAATCATAGTTCCTCATGCAGTATTAAAATCCAAAAATGAAGTTTACAAGGATTAACCGTTATTAAAGGAATTTTGATTAGCTAATATTAACAAAGATGAAAAAATACGGTAATTAATGTATTTTTCATTGTTTCACATTAGTAAATATAGCAACTAATGAAACCTTAGTGTAAAGTTTGGCTCAAGTATTTAAGATTTACTTGAAAAGCAAAATGGCTTATTTTGTAATACAAGATTGTAATATTATAACCAATAATACTAAAATATTGGCTCATTTAATTTTTTTTCAGAAAAATCTAGCAAAATCTAGCAAGATTTTTAAAACAAGAACAAAACAAGAACAAATATCTGTCTATTTCTGTTTGAATGTTTATTTTTCTGACATTTTTCATGTCTTAAGCATTTTGATGTTGTTTTTTAGATAGCAAATCTGAATATCTCGCATCACAGATCACAGCATCCTTCCATTTCCTGTGTGCTGTTTGTGTAGGTGATAAACAATGGACCCAGCAGACTTCCAGGCTCCAGGGTGGACATCAGGATCCCCCACCGGCTGGCTGGCAGCGGACCCGAAATGTTCCATATCATTGACACACAAGTGAGTTCCTGCCACTGATGCTCTGGGTGTGTTTTTTATAGCTACTATTCATTCTCCCAGCAGTTTCTTCACATCAGTGTTACAGCTGTCCATTTTCACCATGTTCTTTTTTTTAAGAAATTAACTGAGCAATTTTCTTTTTAGAAATGTAAAATTTGATTGATGGATTGATTGATTGAGTGATTGACATTATTTTACTTTATTTAAATATTACTGTTAATATATTAACAACAATAAAAGTATTTTATTTAATTTTTATTTAAATATTACTGTTTATATTTAAATTAAATATTAACAGTAATATTTCATTTAATTTTATATGATTTAAATATTACTGTTCAAATTTAAATTAAATATTAGCAGTATTGTTTAATTGTATTTCATTTACTTTTATTTAAATATTACTGTTCATATTTAAATAAATATTACCAGTAATATTTAATTGTATTTGTTTTATTTTATTTAAATATTATTGTTCATATTTAAATTAAATATTAATAGTAATGTTTAATTGTATTTCATTTTATTTTATTTTAATATTTAAATTAAATAATAGCAGTAATATTTAATTGTATTTATTATCATTTTTTTAAATATTACTGTTCATATTTAAATTAAATATTAGCGATAATATTTATTGTATTTTTTTCTTTCATTTAAATATTACTGTTTATATTTAAATTAAATTTTAACAATATTATTTTATTTTATTTGCTTTTATTTTATTTAAATGTTACTGTTCCTATTTAAATTAAATATCATTGGTAATAATTATTTGTATTTAATTTAATTTAAATATTACTGTTCATATTTAAAGTAAATATTAACAGGAATATTTTATTTTATTTAAATATTACTGTTAATGCTTTAAATGAAATATTAGCAGTAATGTTTAATTTGATCTACTTTTATTTTTATTTAGCTATTTTGTTTATATTTAAATTAACTTAATATTACCAGTAATATTTATTTTAATTCATTTTATTAAAATATCACTGTTGCTCTTTAAACTAAATATTAAGAGCAATATTTAAATTTATTTTAACAGTACTGCTACTATTTAACTGAAATATTACCAGTAATATTTAATTTAAATTTATTAATAGCAGAAACATTTAGAAACATAAATTTAGAAACATGGTGGTGTCAAAAATCATGTTAAAAACTACTCAAACTTACAGCTTGTGTTTAAGTGAGTCATGAATGAACACATACTGCATTGTAGCTGTATTGCATTATATTATGGTGCATTGATTTACATGCTGCAATATTTTTCAATTGGTTATGACCCTTGTGGAATGTTTTATTAGGTTAAAGTTAGGGATTAAATAATAGTTTTTTTATATTTTCAGACAAAAGAATCATGTGGTTAGTGGAAAAAATGATGCTGCATTGTTGCATTACCTTTCCACTAATTAAATGGCACAATATTCCCTATAAATATTGTTTCTGCTTAGGGTAGCAATATGAGGTTTACCTTATAAAGTACTTCATAAATGCCACAATTGTTGTATGTTTGCATTTTTCGGCTAAAAATTCAGAGCTTTATCTATATTGTATCTATAGAAATGTGAGGATTATGTTGACTTCTCATAAACCGCAGTGCTGGGCCGAGAGGACTTAAACACATCAACATCCTCAGGCTTATAGTTAATTCACAGGTGAGAGACTGCTGTACCAGCAGAGCCGAAGACAGACTCACAATGAGCTTCTTATCGAGAGATGAAATTCAAGACCACCATGTTTGTTTAACCCTAGGGTGTCCGCTGGGTCTTAAAAAGTCTTGAATTCACTTATATATAGTGTTGTAGGTCTTAAAGGGGACCTATTATGCAACCACTTCTATAAGGGGTTTAAACACAGTTGTGTTGTAAAAGTGTGTAAATATAGCAGGCCTCTAATGGTAAAAAAAATGTTAATTAAATTTTTATACTCACACTTGATCAAAACAGTCTGCACAAACACTTTGATTGATGTTCTCCTTTTGTACGTGTCGTCACAGGGAAAAGCCCCGCCCACTAGTAATGATCTTTCCCTTATTAGCATAAACAGCCCTGAGTGAGAAGCAGTTGTCCGATGCAGTGCCACTAAACTGATGCAAAGGCAGTTTTAGCTCCGCCCTCTTGAGCACAATCTCATTTGAATTTAAAGCGACAGTAACCAAAACAGCACAATTTGGATTAAAGCCTAAAAGGGTCAGTTTCAGAGAGTTATAAAACATTATTTGTGTGGTATTTTGAGCTAAAACGTCCCATACACACTCGAGGGACATCAGAGACTTATTTTACAGCTTGTAAAATGGGGCAAAATAGATTAATAGGGGCATAGACACAATAGGGACATATAACGTTTATTTCACACGGCCCCCATTTTATAGAATCAAAGCAAGGCTGCGATGGGAAAAAACCTGAAAGTATAAGACCAGCACTGTAAACAATGCAATAATGCAATACGGGGCTTCAGCGTCAATGCTTAACAGAGGGCGTGTCTAAAGGTGGGGGTTACGTGATTGTCATAGCAGCATCAGCCAATGAAATTAGTCAAAAATCAGCTACTGTCTGAGCTGGTGTATTTGCATACAGCAATCTGATTGGCTGACGCTTTCATCTGTGCTTTTCAAGTACCAGTGTGGATGAGAGTGGATGAGAGTGTATGAGTGTTTCCCAGTGATGGGTTGCAGCTGGAGGGGCATCCACTGCATAAAACATTTGCTGGATAGGTTGGTGGTTCATTCCGCTGTGGCAACCCCTGATTAATAAAGGGACTAAGCCGAAAAGAAAATGAATAAATGAATTAATGAATTAGATAATTTTTTTGATGTTTTAAGTTAAAATCTTTTCCACTGACCCAACTAAACCAGTATAAGTCTGAAATTTCATTCATAATGGTCATAAAAGTCTTAAATCTGACTTGGTGAAACCTGTAAAAAGTGTTTACAGCGACTATATTGCTATAGCTTAGGTCAAGGATCAACCTGTTTACTGTGAACTGGGGGACGGGGAGGTTTGTATCCCACCCTGGACGTCCCATATGGAATCACTTACGCTGGGATTAGATGACTTGCACGGAAGGATGGAATGGGACACTTGGGGAAAGACTTCTGTTCACCCCGACTAACCTGCAGCACAGTGGCAGAGCCGGGGAAGCCCACGTTCCCACACCCACAACACAAACACTGGGCCTAATTAAAACTGCACACATGGAGGAATTCCACTGGAAGCATATGGGGCATTTTTACACAAACAGCTTGAGCCCATCCCTCCACGCTCCAGAGATGTCTTGGCTTAGAGAGAGAGTTGTGTGACATCAGCTTTGATTGAGAAATTCTAGTGAAACGGCTTGCTGCCAGCTGCCTTTCACAGTCACAAACAATGCATTGGGATTTTTGTTGCTTTCATAATTTGAATTATAGCATTGCTGTAGGCTTTATTGTGCAGTAAAAGCATGTTAGACCAGAGCAAGCAACAGGTCTTCTTCAAGTTACCTGAAACTGTTTAATAACTTACATATACGCATATTACCATTAAAAATTACAGTTTGGGCTCGGCTTTTAAACACTACACCAGCGGCCAACGTCATCAGCACAAAATGAGGATCCTCCAATGCTGGGCTGATTTATACTTCTGCGTCAAACGTCGGCGTATGCTACGGCGCTGACGCATAGCCCTTCGTCGTGGCCATTGGCGTCACTGAGGTCACCTCTCAAAAAATGTAACTACATGTCGCAACAACGCGTAGCGCAAGCTCTGTGATTGGTCGGCTTGGTAGCGCTGACGAGTCTGGGCGGGACCGAGAGCCGCGTGAATGGTGCGAGCCTGATGGAGCGATTGTTTACAAGTGTGGAGTCCGTGAAGGAGCTCCGGATGGAAAGTTTTGTTTTGTGTTTACCTCATAGTTAAAGTTGTTGCACGTCCGCCGGTTCCTGCCTCAAAATGAGCGAGTTTGAGCCACTTGTACATTCAGGAAGTGTTCAGGAAAGCAAAACAGCAGCGAAGAAACTCGACACAGAGGAACATTAACACCTCACTGCCAACTAGCGTTTCGGAAGTGTTAATGCAGACCACAAGAGACAGCGTGCAGAAGTATAAATGCACAGCTACGCGCGTTGCATGCGCCGTGGGTTACGCCGGTTACTTGACGCAGAAGTATAAATCAGCCTTCACACACACATAAAACGACACACCCACATACAAACAAATGCACACCTATAAAAAATACGTTCTGCAAGCGAACATAACAATGGGTATAAAGATGTTTGGATTTCTGTTGCTTTCAAACCTTGAGTTATAGCATTGTTGTGGGCTTCATTATGCAGTCAAAGCATGCTTTTGACTGTTTTTTGCAATCAGTGAGTGACATACTACACAATGATATCAGCTGACATGCTATTAAAACTACAAATACCATAATATTGTAGATGGTGAACACCAGTGTTCAAATATTTATGTGTTTTTGTGGCTTTCGTAGCTTGAGTTATCGGCTTCATGCATTGTCATAGGCTCCATCTTAGAATCAAAGCATGTTTTTGGTTGTTATTTGCAACCAGTGAGTGACATAATGATCTCAGCTGGAATGTTATTAAAACTACAATTGCAATATTATTATAGATGGTAAACATGGGTATAAAATGCTTTTGAATTGTTGTTGCTTTCATAACTTGAATTATAGGCTCAATGCATTGTCGTAGGCTCCATCATGTAGTCACATCATGTTATTGGTTGTTTTTGCTACCAGTGAGTGACATACACAATTATATCAGCTGAAATGTTATTGAAACTACAATTGCAATAATATTGTAGATAGTAAACATGGGTATAAAATGCATTTAAAATGTTGATGCTTTCATAACTTGAATTATAGGCGCAATGCATTGTTGTAGACTTCATCATGCAGTCACAGCTTGTTTTTGGTTTTAATTTTTGGGCAACCAATGAGTGATTTACTCAAAATTAGCTGGCACATTATTAAAATTAAAATTGCAATATTGCTGTAGATGGTAA